CCCGTTCAGGTGAACGCGCCACCTTTGTGTGACCCCTCCTCTGGCGCACATAGCACGTAGAGGCGGCCTCAAATTTGAAAGTACCGCTCCACGTCCGTGTTGAATTCCTTCATCTTGTAAATGGCCCTGTTGCGAGCCCTGTCCTGGATCGCCTTCTTGTTGACCTGCTCGTAGAGGATACTCTTGCAGAGTACCTTCCACAGGTTTTTGATTTGCTTCGTTTTATCACTTAGTAAAAATTCGTCCTGTATTTGTTTTTGTGGTATGTACAAATTCTTAAACTGTGGCATATGTTTTTTTTTAATTATAATTTTGTCAGCATCCGTTGGTACATTTGGCCTTTTACGAAATTTATTAAAAAAGTACGAGTTGTTATAGACAATTTTGTAGGGAATGACTCCCCGTAGATGTTTAATGACGTACTTCAGTTTGACGTTACAGATGCACACGTCTTCGTCGTTCAGCTGGATGATGTTGCTCGCCTTGAGGTGTGCAAACAGCTTCGTTCTCAGTACGTGCAGTTTATCCTTCCTGTTGTAGATGTAGTCGAAGTTTTCTTCCTCCACGAGGGAGGACGCTTCGTTCGTGCGGCCGCCATTGTTACCATTGCGACAGCCATTATTATCATTGTCATCGCCATTGCCATTGCCATCGCCATTGCCATCGCCATTGCCATCGCCATTGTTACCACTTCTCGCCATGTTCGTGCTGCTTTCTAGGTGAGTCCCTCCCCCTGTGCTAACCGGCGCGTCTGTTCGCCTCCTCAGCTGAAACTGCGCATACAGCGGCACCTTCACCTTGCTGTACTCATCGAACTCGTAGCTTAGCGGCTTCTCCGCGTCGCTAATGTAATAGTGTTTATTTTCCAGGTACTCTCTCCTGAGTAAGTTGTAGAAGTTTTCTCTCAAGTAGACATTTTCTCCCTTGAAGAGCCCAACGGGGGCATTCGGATAAATCACCTGGTTCTTCTTCAGCATGGATCTTAATATATAGTAACTGGATTTGAGAAAATCCGTTTTCTCTGTCGGTATCATGTTGGTGAGATACAGATTGTACAAATACTCATCGTCTAATTTGTCCAGTGCTTCTTCGAAGTCATTATATTTCTTTTTGTTAATTTGGTAGGCAAGTCGTCGGAAATGGTTCCTCACCGCGTTGCATTGGCTGTCTCCCTTAATGATGGCATTTCTGCTGTTTCCTCGGCTTCGCTGGCCGCCTCCATGGTCGCTTCTCTCGCCACTTCGTTGACCACTCCCCCCACCGCTGTACCTCAGCTTATGGCGCACACTCACATCACGCACGATGCCGTATTGGTTAATACATATGTACAAATTGTAATGGTCCAGGTTGTAGAGAAATTTATATACGTTGCTATTTATGTATACCTTTATGTACTTTCCCTCCAGTGAAGATGCCTTCACTGGGTTCGCCATCTTATCGTAAGTGACCTCTCCGTAGTTTTGCATCTCCCCCCGCATATTGACACTGTTGGCATCACCTCGTAACTTTATGTTGGCTAGACGCAACTCCCTGATCTGATTTAGCAACAAATTCCTCTTCCCCCCAGAGCTGTATATGTTCGCTAGCGAGTTCACTATTTCGTTGTTTTCTTCTTCCCGCTCGAAGTCGTACAGGGGGGGTTCCCGCCCTCCCTTCGTCCGCTTACCTCCCATTGGGGATTTCTTCCCATCTGGGTGGAGGCTCTGCGGGTGGGTCCTCTCTGGATGGGCGCTGCCTAGATGGACGCTCTCTTGAGGGCAACCCCCCTGCGCCGGCGTCTCCAAGTAGGCAATCCGAAGCACTCGCTTGCTCTTCTTGTCAACTATGAAAAACTTGTTGTCCCTCTCGAGGTACATCTTCCCCTGGGTGTTGTCGCTCAAAATTTTAAATTTCGAGCTACCCAAGTTATCTATCACTGATGGGATTGTTCTTCCTCCGGGGAAGCTATTTCTTTCTAGGGTTCCCGGACAGCCCTCCTTATTTTTCTCTCCAGTGTGTATACTATCTGCTGGAGGCGTTCCCCACCCGGTCTGGGTGCTGGACTGGGTACTACTTCTCTTCGTTATAACCGGGGAAGCTTCCGCTCGGGACACTTTAGGGTCCCCTCGCGTTGCTTTCCTTTCGCCGTCTCGGCCGCAGGGAGGGTCGCTCCCACGTTCGCAGCGGCGTACTCCGCCATGTTCACGTTCACTGTTGTTTTGACTGTCATTTTCGCTGCTGATTTCACTACCGCTTTTACTGCCGTCTTCACTTCCTCTACGTCCTGTACCGCCTTCCCCCCCCTTGCGCATGAAGAGCGATCGCGCAAAGCCGCCCAGGGTACTGGCCCGTCGCTGCCTCCTGAACGTTCTTATCTCTTCGGGGTTCTTCGGAAGGGGCAGCAAAATGTGAAAGGCCTTATCTTCGTGCGCAACAGAGCTGTCATATTTGGAGAAATTCACAAAATTAAAATAGTAGACGTTAAAGCAGAAGAAGAAGGACACCCATTTGTTGAAGCTGCTTGAGTAGCACTCGGAGAAGATGTTAAATTGGGCCGTTTCGTCTTTCACCACTTTTCTGGAGCCTTTCCCACTATTTGTCTTGTCCCCTTGGCTGAATGGGCTCGCGTAAGTGTTCAATCCGCTTTGAAGGAATTCCTCCCTGTCGATAAGTATCACATCGTCATCGCGGTTGACCTCTTCAGCTCCATCATCGCGGTTGGCCTCTTCACCTCCATCATCGCGGCTGCCCGCTTCACCCCCATCAGCGAAACTACCCACATTGTTCTCGTCATTGCTCCCCTCACTGACTGAGTTAACAAATTGACGATAAAAAATACTTCTGCTAAAATCAGAGTGATATTCCTCACCGCACTTTTTCAACAACCACTTGTCCTGCCCCAAATCAATTTCGGTTTTCAAACTGGGCAGCGTTAAACAGAGACGGCTGGGAATATTTAAGCATCTACAAAGGGAGATAAAAAGTAGATTTATCAGTACATTGTTTCCCTTTCTCCTTTGTACACATCTGAGGAAGCGGAATAGAATGGAGCCACGAAGGTTTCTAGTCACATGCTGTTCTCCAGACACCCAAGACTTCCCATCGATGACAAGTTCGAATGTGCTCTTTATAAACAAGAACAAGTAAATAGGATCCCTATACAGCTTGCTGTCTTCCCCTTTTTGGTAATTCACATAGACAGAGTATATTAGCGCTTGGACAAACTTGTTGTTGCATGTGTTGTTTAAGAATTGGAGGTGGCTTAGCCAACAGAGCATATGCGTGATTAGTTTATTTTCTTCAATTTTTTTTTTTATGTTTTTGCTCCTCAGTTGGATGAAGTTCGATACGTTTTCGCTGGACAGTGGGTTTTCCTGCTCCTCTGCATCATCTATCTTGTTCTTTTTCTTTCTCTGTGCTTTTTCCTCGTGAGAGTGGGCCTCTTCTTTGGCATTGCCTCTCTTTTGGGGGGTTGCAGCCTTCCTCTGCGAAGGGCCAGCTTTCCTTTGGGGAATTCCCTCCTTGGGCAGAATTTCCTCCTGGACGAGCTGCACATCTGAGTTGGAGTCCTCCTCGTTACTTCCGCCACTCGTGGAGGTCCCATTGCTGGTGGCCCCTTCTAAGATGATAAAATCCTCTTGGTTCACCGCTAACAATTCGCTGTCCGCAGGGTTTTCCTCGCTTCGGCCATCCTCATCGCTGGACCTGTGTCCCCTTTGCAGGATCTCCAGCTCCTCCTCGCCGAACAGTTCCCGGTCAATTTCGTTAAGCTCGGTCTGCGGCGACCTCTTTGCCGCTCTTCTGGTTCTCTCCATTTGGGGTGAAGCAGTTGTGAGGTTAAGCGGTTAAGCGGTTAAGCGGTCAGATGCTCATACGGCGATGTGCCGATGTGGCCAAGTGGCCTCTTCACCGCTGCACCTTCCCTTGTCCTTAAGCTGTGCCCGCACGGGGTCACTTTACAAGGACGGCGTTGCGACAAATTGAAGAGTGAACTTGCCAATGCGGAGGACACTCCAGGGGGGTTCGGAGTACTACTTTGCATCCCCCCGAAGTAGCATCCCCAGGGGAGGGATTCCTCCACTTCGGCACTTACATGCAGAAAAGAAAGAAAAAAAAATCCTCTCCTATGCTATGCCATGCTACCCTATGCAGTGTCATCCAGTCCCAAGTTCACACAACAAAGTGATGTTACAATGAATCCGTTTTAACAAAAAAAGAAAAAAGGAGCGGCTAACAGTCGGGGGACGTTAAAAAGAAGAAAAAATGGCCTACTAAAAAATGAAAAAATAGAATAAAATAAAATAACAAAACTGTTAATAGATGTATGGAAGAGAGCGAAACAAACTACACCACGCGCGATATGCGGATCCTGGAGGTCTAGCCCTCCGCGGGGCGCAAGCGAAGGAGGCGGCGGAATGCTGCACCAGGTCCTACGCGGAGGTGCACAGTAGGTGGCTAAAAAATACACACACACACATGGCAGAGAGCGGGAGAGTGAGAAACGAAATACAAGTACAATCCATCGGGCTTATTTAAATCATGCAGGCATACGCTATGCACGTGAGGACTAACACAAGGAAGGAGAAATCGTGGAGAGGGAGGAGAAATGGGGCGTGACACACGGAAAGCTATGCACATATATGAATGGACGATTAAAGATACATTCGCCAGGGCCACGCTTTCTTCTTTCTGCAAATGGAGGAAAGGAGAGATCCTCCTACTCGACGGAGCCTCGGCTCGGAGGTTTTTTTCCCCCCTTCCTCCTTCTACACCGCACATGAACGTATGTGTACAGTCTTAAAGTGGGAAATCAAAATGGAGAGCAGGAAAAGAAAAGAAAAAAAAAAAGAAGGAGAAAAAAATATCCACTTGAAACGACGGCGAAAGAGGGCAGACGCACACCCTTCCCGTGTGTACAGACTGGGGATGCAGGAAACCTGCACAGTTCATACAACGCATTGCCACGAAGCCACTGAGGAACGGGAAGAGGGGCAATTGACGCGGCAAAAATAGAGGGGTGGGTGTTCTTCCCTTCCAGTGGGCTCACCCTGCAGAGACGTTCTTCCACACGTACAATTGATCCTAATGACTGGAGGTGCCGTGCGGAGAGTTTCTTCCCTTCCACGTGAACAGGGGAAACGACGAAAAAAGAAAGCGCAAATGTGGAGAAATGGAGAGGCAAAGAAGCGGAGAAGCCGCAATGCCCACACGCCTCATCAGTCGTTATTCTTCTCCCTGCTTTTCCCCCTCCGTCTGCCGCTCCCCCCCACACTTTCCAACACGGTGACACACCAACCTGGTGAGTGATCGCCTTGAGAGCTAATTCTTCTTCAACGTCACGAAGCAAACGTCGAAGAGCCTATCTTTTACTATTTTCCCATTTGTCTTCGTAATTTCGTACAGAACCTGTGTGTACCCCTCATCCAGCGGGATGATGAGCTTCCCATTCTCCGCCAATAGGTCGATTAGAATCTGTGGCAATTCACTTGCCGATGCTCCTACATGAATGGCATCAAACAATCCTAACTGTTCTTTCTCCTCTTCACTCACTTGATATATATTTTTGTGAATAATCTTAAAATTGTCCAGGTGCAGTAACTCTGGTTTGTCTCTTCTGATGTTTTCGATGGAGAAGTTGGCGACGTCTTTTACTCTCTCGAGCCCTATGACAAAGGAATCCTTGTTTTCCAGCACCTTCGTTCTTATAGCCATGCAGACGGTTAGGTAGCCTGACCCGGATCCTGTTCATGAGGAGCGGAAGAGAAAGAAGCGGATGGGAAAGAAGCGGATGGGAAAGAAGCGGATGGGAAAGAAGCGGAAGGGAAAGAAGCGGAAGGGGAAGTCGCCATGTGGTAAGTGCAGCAGGCGCGGGAACAGGGCGAAACGAGCACGCCCAGCAAAGCGCACAGCACGAAGTGGCACACGGTGGGGAGTGCGCTTCGGGGAGAAATGCATTACTGCCCCGAAAGGTAGGGGAACATCACAGGGAGGGCATGAAACAAACGGGACACTCTTTCGTTCGTTCGTGCGTCCTTTCCTTGGTTCTTCCGTTCATTCTTTATTTCTCTTTCCTTCCATCTCCCCCTCCTCTGCAAGATTACCCACGTCGATGGCCCGGGACCCCGGCTTCAGCACATCCATCAGGCGCTTCAGGGACAGGGCGTGCATGTGCGGGGAGGATATGGTGACCCCGTGGCTGATGTAGACGGGCGTGTCCACATAGGGTTTCTCCTTTATGTACTTTCCCCTGTCCACCTGCGATGGGGAGGGCATGTGTGCGGGTTAATGGCAGGTCATGTGCTGGAGCATGCGCACAGGTGAAGATGGTATGTGTGGCTCTCTCGCGTGCGTTGCAACCCGTGTGGGAGTGTCCCCCCTGTGCACCGCTTATTCGAACAAGACGAAAATGTTCGGGCGCTGAAATGGGTCCCATGGGTGGTCTACTCACTCCAAGTGAAGAACGCTCTTGTTTGTTTGCTTGCTTGTTTATTTTTTTTTTTTTTTTTTTTTTCTTTTTTTTTCTCTCTCCCCACTCAATGGGTCCCTCTCACATTTGCACCAACCTGTAGCATAGTCTCGTAGACGTCCTCATCGTCAATTATGCCTCTTTCCTTAAGACTGTCGATTAAACTCTTGTGGCTGTTCCCAGCAAGGGTGTACATGTTCCTCGTCCCTGTTTTTTCTGCGGACTTCCCTTTGATGAAATAGTTATCTTTGGCTGAATTTAACCTCCGGGAAAATAAGTTCTTCTCCTTACAGAGTGGCTCGAAAAAGAACAATTTTGTCGCTCTTAATTCCGATGTTAGTTTTTTCGATGTATAGATGGCTTTGCACAAAAGGGTTTTGTAAATGAAGAGGTTGAACAATGAACAGTGCATTTTTCGTTCGCTTCCTCGTTTGCCTCGCCGTTTGCCTCGTCTCCTGCTTCGTCGTTCCTTTTGTCGCTCGTTTTCCTGTTTGCAGTTTTGGGGGGTTTAAAAACATTGTTTTTCTCTTCAGTGTTTCCTTTTGGATATTATCATCATTTGGCTCATTTCGTTCATTTGGTTAATTTGTGTTCATTTTTTATGCGTTTTTTTTTTTTTTCTCAATTTTTTCTTCACACTTCGCCTTCACACTTGGCACTTTTTACCTGTCCCCGTCTTGCCATTTACCTTCTCTTCCTAGCTGTGTGTTCGCATGGCTACACCCTGGATGCAATTTCCTCCAATGCAATGATAAGAAGAGAAAAATAAAATTATCTTCGCTGGAGTATCCATTTGGCCAGTGCGTACCCTAGGGCCAAGTGCCTGACCCCTGGGGAGCCAAAACACTTGTTTGTGCCACGTGCACAAGAGGGGAGATCAGGCACGCGTATTTGCATGCAGGGATGTTAACACCGCCGCGTCCACGTTAGCATCACCTCGTCAACTTGGCTGTGGCTTCCCCATGTGTGCATCGTTTCCCCCCCAGAGCGGACTAGCCCCGGGAGTGGTTTTCCCCCCTCGCTCGGCCACATCGTGAAAGTGTGACCCGCTCCATGCCGAATAGACAGTGGCTACCCAAGTGCCCCTTAAATGACCGTTGGGAAAAGGTTAAGCGTCCTGAGTAATCGCGCAACAAGGCAGAAAGAAGCACACTATGATGTGCTAATTATTTAAAAGGGGAATTTCGCTTGGACGGGCATCTCGCCGTGTCCCCAGAGGGAATTTTTCTTCGCGCACGCACGTACGCATACTAGGTGAACGGCCTACACGTATGTGTGCATGTGTGCCTACACATATGCGTCCATGTTAAGCATACATTGTTCACGTAAAAAGTATTCGAGGCGCCTTGAATAATGCCTCCCCCGACCCTCTTAATGTTAAAAGGGATAACATGTTTTCTACGCGAAGCTGCGGAAAAATGGGAAAATAAAAAAACGGGGGAACACCTTTCCTCTGCTTAAAAGAGGACAAGTAATGTAAACACCATGCAAGGGGTGAAAATAAAAAGTGAGCTATTAAATGGAGGAAAAAAAAAGGTCTAATCAGGACAATACGAAACAAATGGGAAAAAAATTCAATAAAATCGACCCGACTTGGTTTCTCTTTTGAAACGTACAACATCGGTTCTTTGGAGGGGCGAAGGGGAAAAGAGATACTCCTGAACACACACGCCCGGGGAGGGTCACTTATGCGTATGTCAATGACGTAGGAGCTACTACCAGGAGGTGTACCCCCAAAGAGGACAGAGAGACGGATAGCTGGACGGATGGACACCCAACCGTAGCCATTGACCAGGTAACCTGCGAAGTTCCATTCGAACTGCATCATTTTACATGGACGATGGTGAATAAACTTGTCCCCCTTCACAAATGAACCTTCACTTCACACCTGCTTCGTTCGGCTCATTTAATGGTAGTTTGCTTGACACGTGTGGTTTTTACTTATACTTCCTCCCTTAATGAAATTGCTTCGCCGTGGAACAGAGCCGTCTTGGTCGATTCTTTTTTTGGCACACTTTTAGACCTTCCATCATCCTGTGCTCCACAGCGTCTGCAACTGCCCCCTCCCCAGCTAGCCAAAATGTGACCCAATTCGCCTGACCCGTTCAGGTAAAATTTGTTTATTTATTAGAATTTCTTTTTTTTTAAGCTTTAATATGTGCACGTGGCTCTACGCTTGCACACAGGCATATCAAATCGTGTTTTGTTTCTTTTTGCTGATTTTGCTACTGACGAATTTTCTCTCTGTGTTGCTTTCCCCATCACCCCCCTCCGTTTTGGAGGTATACTTCTTATGTTTCAGCTTTTCCTCGTGACTATGTATGTCATTTTCATTGGGCGCGTTGTTTATCTCCACTTCTTGCTTGCCACTCGTGGCGCCGTTATTTTCTTCCATGAGATTTTTGGAGTTTATGGGTTTCTCTTCATTGACGATTACGTTACTTATTTTTGCCTGCTCCAAGTTATTCGGCAGGTTGTGATTTTTTATAAAATTTTTCACATTTTCCTGCATCAGTTCCTTTTCGCTTGCGATGGGGTCTCCACTCGATTCGCTCCTGTTTTCACCACCCAGGTGTACCTCCCCAAAGGGAAGCCCACCACTTGCATGATCCTTCGGCAGCCCCGGTTGGGTCCCCCCATTCTGTGAAGGGGTGTCCCCTCCTACAACTTTGTCCGCATTTTCTACACCATTCGATTGAAACGATTCTCTCAAGTCTTTCATTTGCAGATGGTGATGTTCTCCTTCCCCATCTGTGCGACTGGGAAGATTAATTTCTCCTACCTCATGCTTAGCGATTTCCCCATCGGTGCCATTGCTTACCTTGTGAATATCATTGATATCATAATGGTGTTGAGTTAGATGGACGGGGCTGTCAAAATGGTCGGCTTTTCCATCCCCTCCAGCATTCCCATAATTATTAATCCCATGGGAGGTAGAAGAGGGGTCATCATAAAACAGGTGCGAAGTGAGGCTCCCCAACTTATCTGCCGTCTTCTTACTATGCGTAGCAGCAGGGCTTGACTTCAGTTTGTTCGAATTGTTAAATAAAGTGTATGACATGTTCAGGTTAAAATTTTTATTTAAAAAAACATTATGTGTGTATAGGACTTCCTTCATTTCATAAATCTCTTTTCGCAAATCTTCTATGACGTTGATGTAGGACTTCAGTTCCACAATCTCGGCATTCTTCGCAGCATTATTTTTGTTTAATAAAATTTCGGAGTTTATTTGGAGATTCTTCTGTGACGTTTCAAGGATGTACGAGAATATACAGGTAGCCAAAATTACGACAATCGATATGACTACCAGGAGAATGGTTAGTTGGAAAATCTTCTTCTTCTTTATCTGTTTTTTTATTTCCTGTATCTTCTTCTCGCTCAGTTTATTTTTCCCCTTTGCGTTTTTTAAGTTCATTTTGTCTAGTTTGACCGACATATCGTTGTAGTATGGAAGTATCATGTTGTACTTATTGCAGAAGAGGTAGCCTGACATTTTGTGCATGTAGTTGGATAGTTTACTTCTTTTGTGGTTTCCCTTATAGGAGTTGTTGTCACTCGTCTCGTTCTGTTCACTGGAGTCGTCAAACAGGTATTCATTGTTGCTTATAGTCTTATATTTTTTGTTATTCTTTTTCCGGTACATATTTTCCAACTTGCTATTTTTCAGCCCTTTCTTGGTTTCCACGCTGGCTGGGTAGGGACCGCTCCCCTCGCGATGGTCGCTAAGGTCGTAGTTTCCACTGACGTCGTAGTTTCCGCTGATGTCATGATTTCCCCTGATGTCATCCTTTCCGCTAACATCGCAGTTGTCGCGCTCCGCGGAGAGGTGCCCCTGGAAGGACGACCTGTCTACCACCTCCCCCTCGTTCTCGTCGCCCCTCTCGTCCCCTAGTATTATCACGGGCAAGTTGTGCCTCTCGCTGTCGCCGTCCCGCTCCAGCATCTTGCTGTGCATTTCCTCGCTGCTTATCATTTTCATGAAGTAGTGGATTTTCTTGTGTTCACTGTAGTTGGTCTCGAAGCATTCTTGTGAGCAGTAAAATATCTTCTTGTTGTTTTTCAGACATATGGGGCAGCATATGGTGGCATCCGTCGCGGCTCCGCACCCGGAGCAGATAGTCATTTGGGTGGGGGGCGGCGCGCCACGCCTCGGTGGTGGTGTATGTACGTATGTTTATTCGCGTGTCTGCGCCTCGCGGCCGCTTAGCTACTTAGCCGCCTCGCCGTTTATGCGAAGAGGCCAACTTGGCTACGGGGGGCACCGATAATATACATGAATGTACACGCGCACGTATATAAGGCTCATGCGTACACGATGTCGCCTAGCGCAAAATGCAGTTCTTCGTCACACGGCGAGCTGTCCCGTGTTCGTCATGTCCCCTTGGGTGGCCACTTCCACAGAAAAAAAAATGCTCATATTTTTTCGCGAAAGGGGGGAGGGGTAAAGAGAACAGGTTTGCAAAAAAAATGGGGAAAAGGCAGTTGCGCAGGGAAGGAAAAATAACCCGTGAGTTGGAACAACTATACGTACGCGCTTGTAAATATCCCTTAGTGCCTTGCCGATTACGCGCAGAGAGGCGGGGCTACAACTCTGTATGTGTTTTTTCTCTGTAAACCTCTGTTAAGCTCACTCCCAGGAGGTGGTACCAGCCGGATGCAAGCGAGGGAGCCAGCAAGCGAACATGCGACAATGCAAAGCTTAACCCTTTTATCATGAGGTACTTCCTCTCGTGGTGAATTTTGCGATTATTAAAAAAAGGAGTTACATGTGACGGGTGAGCTGTGAGGTAGTCGGTAAACAAACGCATCGGAGGGAAAACAAAAAAAAGGAAAAAAAAAAAAAAAATCATGTACCAAACGAGAAGGGAAACCAGACGGTTAACAAAAAAAAAAAAAAAAAGAAATGCCAAACTGTATCATATCATACCCTATCATATCATACACTATCATATCATACTATATCATATCATACTATATCATACGAAAGAATATCATACCAAACTCAACGTGTTGAATTAATTCACCCCTTTTAACGCAAATTGGGGGAGTATACTATACAAAAAAAATAAAATAACATAAAATGGACTAGCCATACCGTCTTGGCTTCACCCCCCGTAAGGCATAGTACACCTACTGGGGGAGGAGGAAACTATTGGATGTATGCACTTGTACACAGACGTTGCTCCAATGGGTCTGTTACACGTTTAGGCTTCTCCTCGAACTGATCGGGGAAAAAGAAAGGGGGTGAGGGTGACGACCCAAATGGGACCCACTTGAAAAGTGGCACGCTGCGGCGAGCCTGGGAGCCCACTTAGAGAAGAGGAGCCATCACATGCAGTGTAGGACCCCCCTCTCCCGTCCCTTATTGACTGTTCGTGATGACGCATTGCAGCGCCTTCTGTAGCACACTCGTGTATTTGTTCATCGCCTGTTGGTGTGAACGGGAGGAAGAAAAGGGACATATGGATGAATGAACCGCATTCTGTGGAAAAAGGGAATGCAAAGTGGCGCAGAATCAGTGAGTAGGAGGAGGGAACCGCCGCAACACACAAAAAAAAAACAGCATCACATGGGATAACATCACAACGCAGCTCATCTGAACACCGACCTGGATGATGTCGTCGTCGGACTGCTCGCGCGCCTTGACGGTGAGCGCGAGGGCGTCCCGAATCTCCTCCACCTCCTGCAGAAAGGCATCCTTGAAGGCCTGCTCATCATCCGAGTCACATACAAGCAGCTTGGCACTCTCTCTTCGAAAAAAAAGAAAGTCTTCCTCCGTAAAGGAAACTTCGCTCTGTATTTTATTGTTCACGTAGACATTCATATTTTCCATCTTCGTGAACAGCACATTGTTTCTCTTCTTCCTGTTGTTGGCGTACTTATTAAGGATGATAAAAAAATCGGACACTTCCCTTTTCAAGCTCATCATCTCGGTTTGTATTTTCGTGGGTAATGTTACCTTAATCTGTCCCACAAGTTTTTCTAACTCATCACATTTTTTTATGATTTTATCGAGATCAAATGAGATGTTTTCTATTTTGGTTGTTATTTTGTTTAGTACATTATTGATCATATCATTCGCTGTGTGTTCGATTAACTGTTGTATGTTTTTGTTTGCTTCGATCCTTTTGCGTACCTCTATGTTGATGTTCCTTTCTATGCGGAGCAGGTCGTATTTGATTTCTTTGTACGAGTTGGTGGTCTCTCTGGGGTCATCCAGGACATTCGATTCTGCGAAGAAGTGCGTATCCGCCATTGTCCGCTGGGAGTGCAGGCTGCACGCACCGTGCCCCTCGGATGCGCACGGGCTGCCGCTGCGTTGTCGCATTTTGGCAAGATAGGGGATAGGCGGCGTCCTTGTCAGCGGTGTCAATCTCGGTAGTGTCCCGCTCAACGGTGTGCGTATGCTTCAGCTGGGGAGCGAAAAAATCACACACGCAGTCCTGCGGCACGCGTAATCGGCGGGGAAGAATGTGTTACCTCCTTTAGTTACCCTGATTACCACCCCGACCAATCGCCTTGCCAATCACTGCCAACGAGTGTCTGTCTAAAATGGCGCACAATTATTCACCAACAAAAGTGAAGGGGCGAGAAAAGGAAAGACAAAAAAGAAAAAAAAAAAGGACCGCATTTTGTTTTCCTCCTTTTCGCTAAACAATCGTTGTAAATACTTAAAAAAAAAGAAAAAAAAAAAATGTGCAGTGGCTTATCCGTATCGTCCTTTCAGTTGTGCACTTGGTGGAATGCCATTTGGATTTTTTTTTTTTTTTTTGGGAACTCCCCCAGTGCTGCGAACCATTCCGCAGCTTCGTTAACACTCCGTTAATTTAAGCTTTTTCACAAATTAAGTGTTGCAAATCTTTGTTGTTTTTTTGTCTTTTTTAAAAAAGGTAAAAGGGGTGGATCGCATTTCATTTGGGCGAACGAGTCGCCCTGCCCGTGTACACAATTTGGGAAAAAATTAAAGCATGCGCAAATGCACCTTACGGTTAAACGATAAACTTGCACGGTGTCCATCGCGCGAGCTGCAAAATCATGCTACACACGTGAAGACTACTCCACAAAGTTGCGAACGGTTCTGTGGTTCATACGAATGCAACTCATGCGTGTGGGGGGTTATATGTATACACAATATTATGTCACACTTTTTTTTTTTACTTCACAGGATCTTCTCCCTATCATCACTTCTCTTCCGTTTTTTTTCCCTTTTAGTAGGGGTGATTCGTGCTCCCATCCGGTGGGGCGCAGCACGTGAGAACTCCATTTGGACGTTCAGCTTCGACCGCTCATTCGTATCGACACAGATGGATGCTCCTCCTCATATCCTACAACAGGTTGAGTCTCTTCTTGAGGGTTACCCGCTGGGAGGAGAACTTGTCGTCCGGCGAGAACCGGCAGGGGTGGGCCGAGAAGGTCACCTTCCCATCGACCACGGGCTGGGGGGGAACGGAAAAACGGAAAATAAGAAATGGAAAATGAAAAATGGAAAATATAAAGTGGAAAATAAAAAAAACCAAAATTTGAAAAATGCCAAATGGAAAATGTAGCTTTGTGAACCTGTCGCGCGAATGCAGTGGGGCTGCCACGTCCGCACTGATCGCCAGCTGCGACGCGAAGGGCCTCTGATTGTCCTTACCTTCACCGTGTATATCCTCTTCCCATTGGCGTCCAAGTAGTACCTTAACATGTACATTTTCTCCAACTAGTCATGTGAGTCTATTGGGGGAAAAATCCTGAAGCCGCTGCGCTCAGATATGTTTTGTAGAAACTCCGCTACTTCAAATGATACACCGCGGGGGGCATGCAGACGCGCGAGTAAAAAAGTTCGAAGGGGAAAAAAGGAAACTCTTCCTTGCGGTTAACCTGGAATGTGGTTGGTTCCTTAAGTGACGCTGTTCTAATGGTTCCTTTGGCGCTTTTTCGGAATTACTTCTACTCGAATTATTTTCGCTTTTTTTTGTGGGTTTTATTTGACCCTTTCTTGGCTTCTTCTTTCTGCTTTTTTTTCTTTTTTTTTTTGCTTTCTTTTGTTCTATTTTTTTTGGTATTTTTGTTGTTTTTTTCTGCTATTTTTGTTGTTTTTTTCTGCTATTTTTGTTCTTTTTTTCTGCTATTTTTGTTCTTTTTTTCTGCTATTTTTGTTCTTTTTTTCTGCTATTTTTGTTCTTTTTTTTTGTTTATTCCCCCCCTTTTGGCCTATTTTTTCTGACCCCGCCGCTCATACCCCCACGGCACGGAGCCCTCGCCCCAAGCGTTCCGGGGCACACAAAAAAGGGGGCCAGCCTCTCCGCGTTCATCTCGAAAATGGGAACATGTGCATTGCGTAGTAATGTTTCGCTGGATTTTATCACCTCCATGGTTAATACTGCCCCTCGGGGGTTACAACGTGAATATGTGCCTCCTTTTCTGCCCCCACCTGAGCAGTGCAACATAAAGCGCTTTCCTTCGTCAGGTGAGAAAGCATACCCGTGGTATGTACCAGGGGATGAGCCGTCATCTATGTTAATAACGCCTGTTCCACGTGGGTGCTTTTTTTCTCTGCCTTTTCTTTTCACGACGCAAACCGCCGAGCACAGTAGCCATATGCAGCCGCACTGATGGACCAAAATAACAGCAGAAGGATCATTTCCCTTTTGGAGAAGGCGAATGACGAAAAATGGAGCGACGTGGACTTGTACGGCGAACTGTCATCCCTGGGTGGGGGGAACCTGCAGATCCAGGAGGACCTCTCGTTATCTAAAATGGTCCTAGACGATCAGAAGTGTGTTCGAATTTTTTTCAATTTTCTGATGAACACGCTGCAGAAGTTGATACTGAAAGGTAAGTATTTCGATCGTGTCGTGGACAACAAAGATGCATATATGTATACATATATATAGAGAGATATATATTCGTCGCGCTAAGTCTTTTGGCACAGGGCAGCCGACGAGAGAGCAGACAATCTGGGTACTCTCTTCCCTTGTAGTAAACCATACGCATGTGAACACATATTGTTTACCAATTTCTCCCCCCACTGAAAGGTTCCACGGGATGCCTAAATGATTGCAAAGCATGTGTAAACATGTGCCTTATGCTCCTCCCAGTCTTACAGTATAACTGCCACAAAAAGGAGGTTTTCGATTTACTTTGGAGAGAAAATCGTGTTGAGTGCCCCCTCCAGCCCATGTACGCATGCACGAGCAATGTGCTGATTCTGCACCTGTACAACTTTTTCCTTCTCGCGTTGTTCACGGAAGGTATATGCATTGGGGGGGGAGAAGAGAAAAGAGGCGACTCCACTTCCGTAGCAGACCACGCGAAAGGTGCGAACCGTGCTGACAATGCGGACGACGTGGAGGACGCCCAGAAACCGAAGGAGATCTCCCTGGCTGTAAACACAGTCGATGTAAGAAAACTCTGGCTGCACAAATTCTCCATTAATCAGAGGGTCAAATATACGAGGGGAGAAGGAGAGCTAGGAAGCGAAAAGTGTAAACATGGTGGTGAGCATGTGGGTGGAAAAGAAGAAGGAAGTCCCCCACTGGTTGCAAAGAAAGACGAACGTGGTAGCAATAGCTGCTTCGACCATGGAAGGCACGGCAAACGGGCCCCTAACCGGTCAGACGTCAGCGACAGCGAGAATACTACTACAATCTCACCTGGAGAGGCGAACCCAAGTTATGAAATATCGAACGGGGAAGAAATCTGCCTGAAATGTCACCAGTCAAGCGAGATGACCACGACTCATTTGAAGAGGAACCCAAGCAGGGTCGATGTAGCACCCACAAACAGTAACGATATCGACCTGGAATTAATAAAAAACAGAAGTGCCATCTTAAAGTGCCTCCTAATCCTGTTAAGCTCGTATGTATATTTTGACCAAGGGAAATACCTAAAAGAGAAAAATTTCTTCCTTTTCCTCTTTACAAGTGGGGAGGTTTACTACACGGCCAATTTTTTTTTCTCCCTTTTGTCCGTCATATATGATAATGAATTTAATTATTTTAGTTTTTACTTTTATGATAACACCTATTTGGAGTTTTACAATTTGTGCATTCACCTTTTGAACTTGCTGATTGATTTTAATCCGTTCGTTCTGGAGGACGACAAGAGAGTGCACTACGTGAGTGAAGCGGCGAGGTACTTCTACAGCGTCGGAAACGGGCCACAAGAACACAAAGAAGAAGCACACATAGGAAAAACACACATAGAAGAAGCACACATTGGAAAAACACACATAGAAGAAGCACACATTGGAGAAGTACACGGAGACGGCGCCCCTCTCCCAAGTAGCAGCAACAGCCAGTCTCTAAACCACAGCCAAAATGAACCAATAAAGTGGGACGACACGCTGGTAACGCATGGCGACAGCGGCGAGGAGGAAAAGTCAGACACGGATAAAAGCACAAAGGGGGAGGAACACCCGCTCGACAGGGACGAACAAAGAAGCCACGAAATGGTAGCGAATTTACATGCCGATTTTGTCATCCTTGATGATTCCACGGAGGGGTCATGCAACTTATCAAACACGTCCACAGACACGGGACAAAATGGCTACCTGAACAATACTGAAAAAAAAAAAAAAAAAAAAAAAAAATTCCCACAATTGGAGCACCTTATGAAGAAGCGAAAATTTTACTTAAACGAAATTAATCGAGAGGGGAAAAACACAAACAAGGACTATTACTACGATTACTTAAAAAAGCAAAAGGAGTCCAAAAAACTGCGCTCCAATAATGTGTACCTAGGTATGCTGCGTAACCTGGACATAAGCGATATTTCGTACATTTACAAAGGAGCGTTAAACATACTGATAAGTTACAAGCTGTACTACGAACATTATGAGGAGCAGGTTTTGTTTCTTCATAATTATCTGTGCCTGCTGTGGCACTTGATGGATAATAATCGACTGTTTATTAGGCACATGAAACACCACAATAGCAACTTGTTCCTCTTTTACATTCTGTACATACTGGTCTGCTTTAATCACCGTCGGAAGCGAGAGATGCAGGCTCTGGCCGATCTGCGCAAACGCGAAAAGGCGATCGGTAGCAGCATTAGCGCCACCGCGGACATCGCCGCAGAGAAACCCGCAGACACGGCCACCGATACCACCACTAACATCGCCACCCCTGCGAGTGCTTCGAATCATGCCAACACAAATAGTTACGACGAGCAGCCGCACCTCTACCACAACGGCATCTTCAACCAGTCGGGAAAGTGCGACGAGTTCAACCTGCGCAAAATAGACGGCCTGATTTACATTTGCCTTTTCATAATCCTGAAGGTGTCATCCAACGCGACCATTTGCAGAAATCTCAACCAAAAGTACGACCAGAAAATTAAGGTGAAGTTCCCACTAAGAAACGTTTACCAGTTTGACTCCTACGTGGACTTCCTAGTGTACGCCTTATGCATGCTGATCAATGACAACATTTTTTTTCTAAAGTTCGAGCGAATTATCGATATGTCCATTACCATCCTGACGAATGTCAGCGTCTACATCAACTCCATGAACACCTATTCCTGCGAGAGCATAATTAATATTTTAAAAAAAGTTTTAAAAAAGGAATGGCTCCTCTCATCCCAACATCATTATTATTCACTTTTTCTTATGCTGGATTTTATAAACAACATCCTATCGCACAACTTAAATGATAACTACAATTTGATTTACATGATCATAAAGAACAAGGACGTCTTTTTCTCCATTCACAACTTGGACCATATGTTAAAGGATAACTACCTCTCTGTCTCCACCCCACCCCCCAGTGAGTAGTTTCCTGTTTTGGGCTGCCCCAACGGCCACGAGGGGATTCGCCTCCCTACAGCGAATTCTGCATTGGGGCAGTTGTGCAGTTATTACTCATTGCAATATTGTGTAATTTTTTCTTTTGAGCTAGCCAAAGTGCACACATCGCTGTTCA